GCGGCGGGCGCCCGCTATCCCCGCATTGCACGCTTTGCATGCTTTGGGCGTCGGCTGTCCAGCCCTCACCTGCGCCCTGCACCACCAGCACGATGGCAGTCGCCGTCATCATGACCGCGAAGAGCCCCGTCAGGATGTTCAGCGTGAAGCTCTCCAGCCGCCCCACCTGCAAGGCGGCCGACGGGTGACAGCCAGGTGACGGCTGGGTGACAGCTGGGTGACAGCCGGGTGACAGCCGGGTGACAGCCGGGTAACAGCCGGGTGACACCACACACCCGACGCTGGGAACAGCCCGCCTGCGGCGCGCAGTTGCTGACAGCGCTGCTGCGACGCCCTTCGTCCCCCGTGCCCCCGACCCCCTCGCCTCCCGCTACAACTGAATGCTGCGTCCCGCCGCCGGTGGCCGAGGGGTCCAATCCGAAACCCCTGGAGGTGCGCAGCCATCAAAAGCGAAGGAGCTTTCTGCTGCAGCCCGCATGCATGAGGGCGGGGCCGGGCCCGGCGTGCCGCGGGCCCGGGCCATGTTTGTTTTTGCCGTGCATATGCGCGCCTTGTGGCAGAGGAAGAGCAGCACGAGCAGCACCAGCAGGGATGAAACGATGTTGAAGCCGCCCCAACCGCCGATGAGGTGGGGCGCCTGCATGGAAAACACCACCTATGTAAAGTGGTGATGCGGGGGGCAGGACGGGCGCGGCGGTGCGGTGCGGCGGTCAAAAGCATCCAAAGCGCGCCGAGCCAGGTGGGACGAGGGGCCGCCCGTGCTGCCCCATGCAGCCTCGTCGATATCGAAATAGCCTGTTTCGGGCGGTTTCAACACCGGCTGCACGACAGCTTCAAGGGGGCGTGGTTCTGCGAGCTTGCTGCGGAGACGAAAATCCGTGCCTCTTTGCATCCCATGGGATTGCGCCCCCAGGCCCACTCACCACTGGGCCGGAACTGGTCCAGTAGGCGGCCTGCAGCAGGCAGCCAAAGAGCAGCAGCAGGACCAGCGCCGCGCTCATGCCGGGGTTTGCGGGGATGTACGCCCCGTAGTGACGTCGGTACGAGGCGCGGCCGTGCATATGGGGCAGAGTGACGTCCAGCTGCAGCTGCGGCGCCTGCGGCGCATCGCCCTCTGCGGGCGCGCCGGCGCGGCTGGCAGGCTCGGCGGCGCCGGTGCCGCCGTCACCAGTGACCTTGCGCAGTTCTAATTCCAAGTTCGCGTGCTCTTTTTGTTCGTCCATCAAGACAGCAGGACGAGCCGCACGAGCCTCATGCGCTGGCGTTGAGCAACGAATCGCAGAGATCACTACCGGTACCTGCCCGTGCAGCAACGATCCGTGTTAGCGTGTCGATCGATCGCGCCACATGCTCTCTCATATATAAATAAAGACGCATAACTGTTACTGACATTGAACCTGACGGCAGATCGGTCAAATCATCGCGACTTACGCAAGCTCAAACGACTGGATACGTGCGGCTGCGGGATCCTCTAAGCCACCATCTTGATCAGATTGCACCCAGGCTTGCGGAACGGCGCAGGCGGTGCACACCACACGTCTGCAGCAAGCGAACGCGCTTTATGCGCCAAGCTGACTCTCTGGGCCCCCAATCTTTCAACCAGCTCACACACGCCGGCATGCGGACGATCACCCTGGGAGGGCCTATGGCCCACCTTCAGTCGCGGTTAGAGCAGGCAGAGGGCAGGGCGGCGGCGCTGCAAGCAGAGGTGAGCGACACCGGCAGGCCCCTCGACTGTGGCAGCCCCATCCCTCGCACGTTTTGCGCCTGCTGAAGTTCTCATGGTCCCCACTCCAACGGAATGCACTTCAAACTTACCGTGAAAATCTTCTATTGTACATGTATAGCCGCATCCCGCGATTTGAAGCAACAGCGGTCCCAAATGCCTAACTGCAGGCCCGCCACTGGCAGCTCATGTCCGCCCAGCTCGACGCCGCCGCCTCCAAGGCGCAGCAAGACGCGCGCGACGACCACCAGGCGGCCGACGCGCTGCGGGCAGCCAACGCTGACCTGGCGCTGCGGTTGTCGGACGCGGAGGGTCGGCTGCAGGAGACCGCAGCGCTGCTGTCTGACGAGCGGGAGGCGGCGGCGGCCCAGCTGGAGGAAGCTGGGGAGAAGCTGCGGCGGCTGGAGGTGCAGCTGAAACAGTCAGACGAGGAGCTGCAGGTGAGAGCGCAGCCGCGTGCCATGCAAATTTGGCAACAGCCTCATGCGGCGAGAGGCGCCGCTCTGCGCCTGAGAAGCTGGGTTTGGTGCGCAGCAGCTGCGTGCCTGCCCCGAGCGAGTCGGGCGCCGTCCCCGTCAGGAAGCAGCATGTGGGACTCCTGGTCGCACGTGCCCCTCACGAGGCATGGGCCCGAGGGTCCATCTTTGTGTGCACGGCCCTAATGTGTGTGTGCTCCGCCCCCATCTTTGTGCAGGAGGCGCGGCGCGTCAGGGAGGTGGCGGCGGAGCGCCTGGAGCGCACGCGGCAGCGGCTCGGACTGAGCGATGTGGAGGCGCGCCAGTACCTGCAGGTGATGCGTCATGCGTGCTTGCGCTCAAATTTTATCGACAGAATATTACCGTATTGTATCGTATATGTACACGACATGAAGTGCGTGCAGCGAACAAGTGAAGTCCTGCACTTTTCTGTGTAAAATCTGCCAATTGACGGATACGAGTCATCCGTCTTGCAGGAGCTCGATCAGGCGCGCCGCGAGGCGGGGCAGCTGCGGCGCGAACGCGACCAGCTGGCCGCCGACGGCGCGTCGCTAAGGCGGCAGTGCGACGACCGTGCCGCACACGCGGGCGTGCTCCTCGCCAGCAACCACAGGCGCGTGCGAGCGCGTACAAACGTGTGGTATCTGTTCAGCAACCTCATCTCCCGAAGCGCCAGCGGGGCATAAACGAGAGTAAAATGCTTGCCGGATGGATTGCCTCAAAACGCTAGAAATAGATGGCGTCATGGCTGTCTACCTGGCAGCCTGCACACACTTCTGTCGCGCCATACTTTGTCCGGTGCCGAAACCTGTCCAGTCAATGTGCCCGTTGACCCGTTGTCACATCCTAAGCTGGCGGCCTATGGCAGTCCAGACCCAGTCCGCTGCCAGTCCAATCCTTGACCAGTGGCCACAGGGCAGGCAGCCGTGCCTCTCGTCTTTCAGCTGCTCCCCCCGCTGACACTTTCCTTCCACCACCCGCGCACCCACCCACCCAACCCCACCCTACCC